CCCCCAGCACTAACAATCTCCAGTACTAACAATCCCCCAGTACTAACAATCCCCCCATAGTACTAACAATCTCCCAGTACTAACAATCCCCCAGCAGTACTCATTTCTCGTCTTTGTGTGTAGATTTTCCCTCTGCTTGTGTAAGAACGACCATGTACTCAGTTTTTGAAATTGATAAGGAAAATAACGAAAGTGAAACATGTCCATCACTCTTTTCTCCTGGTGACGTCCCAGTCCCATTTGGGAGCATGCGCTGCTGTCAACACTGCAGGCTTCCCAGCACAGTCACTTCTCCCCATTTTCACTGCTACTAGGACATGGGTTTGTGGGGTGGGTGGGGGTCAAGTGTGAATACCCACCACAGGGTCCCGTGATGAGCACTTGGCGACCTGCTGCTGGCACGGTTTGGGAAGTTTCCGGAGCGTGCCAGGATAGGAAGCGGGCTGGCACAGGTGGGCCACGGGGTTGGGGTGGGCCCTCAGGGTTATACCACAACCTGCCTCTGGTTGAAGCTCTGTTCCTCAGTCACCAACTGAGTATGGGACATTCTGCCAGCTCCGGCCTGCTGTCATGGACTAAGCTGCGTCAGTCCCCATGCCTTCTCTACCATGACACTGAGCTAAACTAAACGTGTTCACATACAGCTCAAGTTCCTTCTGTCCAGTATTTGGTCACATCAGTGACACCCACATCAGCGCCATCATATTTTCCTAAAGCCATTTCTCTAGATGAGCCTCCTGGGAGCATACTGTTTCCTCCTCGTTGTCTGGACCCAAGGCCTAGAGACCTTCCATTGTGGTCTGAGTCACTTGGGTGAGTGCCAAACAGAAAAGGAGGATTCTTACTGGAAACAATGGGTGTGTGCTAACTTGGGAGTGTGGCAGATTCTCAATGAAGGTGGCCTTTAAGTATGACCTGAAGCAGGTATAGGGGCCCACCAGTTGTGAGGAGACAGGTGGTGGCATTTGGGGATATGCCTGCAGGGTCTTGGGTTTGTTAAGACCCCAGCTGAGTAGCTCAGGAATGTAAGGAAGGTGGCTGTGACCTGGGATGAGAGGAGCATGGGAGGAAGGGGCCCCCAGTGTCTCCCAGGCCCTCAGCAGGTGGTTTATCCTAGGAGACGTGTGCAGCTTCTCTGTCTAGTTCTGGTATTCATCATCCCGTATCCCGTCAGCCCTCACACTGGTTCATACTAGTTTTGAACACATCTGTGGGTTGTTGGCTTTTAAGACAAGGTCTCAGCTCCTGCCTTTACCTCTCAAGGCCTAGGATTACAGGCATGTGTTATGCCTGGTTCATGGGGTTCTCAGAATGGACCTCCAGGTCTGGAGTGTGCTAGGCAAGCACTGTACCACGTGACCACATACCCATCCCCAGCTGTCTTCTACTTATCTCACCCTTGTGCTTGCTTAGACCGTTCCTTGATAGGCCTCCCTGGCTCCGGACTTTCCCTGTCCCCAACGATCCACCCTGCCCCTCCCCAAACGGAAGTCTCTTCTCACTGAGTCTACGGACATCTACAACGTTCCCCACAGCACTTCATTAATGAGATTAGGAGGTAACCAAGGCTTTCTGAAGTGCTCCATCATCTACCGAATGATGGCTAGACACTCCCTCTATGGTCTTCAGCACCAGCGGCATGTGGAACCTCACCTGTGATCCCTGCAGTTAGGAGGCTGACGCACGGTTGCCAGGAGTTTGAGACCAGCCCAGCCTAGATAGCAAGACCCTTTTGAAAAAAAAGAAAAGAAAAGAAAACAACAACAACAACAAAACCCCAGCATCTTCACACTGAGCCCCCACACATCTTCCTACACTCAGGTTTTCAGCGTGGTTAGCGAGTGTCCTCTATGGTTCAGGTTCCTACCCGGGCCCAGCATTTCCTTCTTGTTTTAAATCTCTACATCTTCCACCCTGGCTCGGGCAACTCAACATCCTCTCTCTGGACCTACTCCTCTGGCTTTGGAGTGAGCACATGAAATGACTCCAGTTGGCCCAATCAGAGGCATTCAAGATTCCTCTTGAATCCTTGGAAAAAGTTGCTCTCTATCCCCGAGGATGTCATATTAGTGTGAGGCCTGGCGCTGTGGCAGTCATTTTACCACGGTGAGGTACAAACTGAAGCTGGCACTGTGGCGACCAGTGGAGACAGAAAGAAACTGGATCTTCCCTCAAAGATTTATGGTATCAGTAGCAAAAAAAAAAAAAAAAAAAAAAAAAAAAAAAAAAAAAAACAATTCCTGCTGGATCTAGTTCAGGTGGGGTTTCTGTTGCTTACAACGTAACTGCCTAAGCTTGCGCTAGGCACGCCCTCTCTCCTGCTGCTGAGTTCTCCTCACAGGGCTTGGAGGAGGCAGTTCATATACTGGTGATGTCTGGGAGGAAAGGGCTGGAGTGGGGGAGGACTGCTTGGCTGGGCAGGCAGGAGCTCGTTCAGGGGGTGATGCTCAGTGACAAACAGGAGCTGAGGCCCATGGGAAAGAACCTTCGAGCAAAGAGAGCAGCCAGCACGGGCCCGGGGTGGGGAGTCATTCGACAGATCCCAGAAACAGAAGGAAAGCACCATGGTAGCCACGCGTCTTCTGGAGATCTCAAGGCCGAATGTATGTGCCACCTCCCTCTGCCATGGTTCCTGGCTGGTCTCAGGGTCCCTCCTTCGGGCTACAGTGTTTCCAGGCTAGACCAGCTTTGTACTTCAAACTTCACAGGGAAAGATGTATATTGTGTACCGTCTTTATTGCCGCAGGTTTTTCTCATGATTTAAACTTTTAAAAATTTATTTACTTGTGTGTGTTGTGTTGTGGTGTGTGTGTGTGTGTGTGTGTGTGTGTGAGAGAGAGAGAGAGAGAGAGAGAGAGAGAGAGAGAGAGAGAGAGGGAGTACACTTGCCATGGCAAAGGTGTAGCGTTAGAGAACAATTTATTACTCTCCATCTACCTGTGGGTCCTAAGGATTGAACTCAGGTTGTCAGACTTGGCAGCAAGCTCCCTTACCAACGGAACCATTTTGCTGCCCCCCTTTCCTTGGGGTTTTATTACTTTTGGGTCTTGGAGAGCATCTCATATTTTTGGTTTGTTCATCACAAAATCTTAGAGTATATCATCTGAATTGCTCTGAAAGCACCATGTTGGCAGGGTCACAGGTCCCCTCCCAGATGCACACGACACATCTGAACGAAACAAATGCAACTGTAACGTGCTTTCTGGTCAAAACCGCTGGACACCGTGCAGCACTGCTCACGATAGCCGAGCTATGGTGCCAACCTAGCCGCTGGGGTGGATAAAGAACACGGGGTACGTTATACACACCGGAACTTTTCCAGAAGAGTGCAGTGCATGTAATCAGTGTCATCTGATGAAGGACCAGCATGGCGTGCGTGCTTCCCCCCATTTGTAGGCCCTGGATATTACAGAAGTACAAAGCCATGTAAACACACCTGTCAGGAAAATAGAAACAAAACTGTTTGGGGAAACGAGGGGGCTGACAGGGGCAGAAAAGGAGTAGCAGGCGTGGGCACGAGCATCAGTGTGCATTGCACATTTGTGTGAAAATGGCCTTATGTAACCTCGTGTGACACAACTGGAAAATATGAACAAAAATGCTTATCGTTTGATCCATGCTGTAACATCGTTTTAAATGTCACATGGTCCAAAGTTACCATTTTCTCAGCTTCTGAAAAACTCTCTATGAAAATGTTGCCCTGTGCTCTTGGTCACCTGACTGCCCATTAATTAGTTGTGGTCAGTAAATAGAAGAACCACAATGGAGCACTCCAACAGTATGCAATTTAGCATTTGTTTCAATTTAGGTTTATGTCTCTATCAAACTTTTAGTGATATAGTGAGACAAAAGGAGGGTTACTTGAGCCTGGGTGAACTGGCCATAGATCTATCTGTCTATCTATCTATCTATCTATCTATCTATCTATCTATCTATCTATCTATCATCTATCATCTATCTATCTATCTATCTATCTATCTATCTGTCTGTCTGTCTGTCTGTCTATCTATCTATCTATCTATCCATCTATCTATCTATCTATCTATCTATGATCTATTTTTCTACTATCTATCTATCATCTATCTATCTATCTATCTATCTATCTATCTATCTATCTATCTATCTATCTATCTATCTATCTATGATCTATCTTTCTACTATCTATCTATCTATCTATCTATCTATCTATCTATCTATCTATCATCTATCTATCTATCTATCTATCTATCTATCTATCTATCATCTATCTGTTTGTTTGTCTGTCTGTCTATCTATTATCTATTTATTATAGATAGAGTCCCACTACTCAGGTTGGCCTGGAACCTGCTCTTAAGCTCAGGCAGGCTTTGAATTTGGAATCCTCCTGCCTCAGCTTCTTGAGTAGATGGGATTAAAGTCTTGTGCCACTAGACCTAGCTCTTGGACATTTTCATTTTGTTTTCTTTCTTTTTTGAGACAGATCCCATGGGATCACAGGCACGAGCCACTTTGAGGGAAGTCACGGCTGCATTTACTCATACAGGAAGAAGCACCTGCTTTCCCCAGAGGCTGCTTTTCAACAAAGGGCTGGAATAAGGCAAACCAGTGCACACAAGACAGGCAGGCTGCCAGGAAGCTGGCTGGGCCCCATCCAGTTCCCCTTACATGATCTGCCAGGGCCAGGACATCCCCCTTGTGACTGCCAGGATCTGTGTGATTATAGCCTTCTCCTAGGTAAGGGGCCCTCCCAAATCCGCTGTGTTCTCTGTGAAGCGCCCATTTCATCATCACGCACGATTCCATTCAGGCCAAACCACTCATACAACTCTTTGGATGTGAGTTTCCTCACCTGTAAAACAAGGACCTGACCCTCAAAGACTTCTGAGGTCATTTTCATACAAAAGCCAAGTAGTTGACCAACACACACACACACACACACACACACACACACACACACACACACCCCTTTTATCATAGATGTGATTTTGTCATAATTCCCCATGGACCATTTCTATGCTAGTTACTTTTAAAAAGTGGAAATGAATCTCTATCCAAACAACATACATTTGGGAAACAACTTCATTACAGTTCAACAAAATTTCTTCATACATGCCAAAGGCACCTAGAAAGGTAACTTGAAAGTTCTTAAAAAATCATTTTGCATTGAGCTTTTTTTTTTTTTAAGTAAAAAATGTATCTGAGTGATTTCTTAAGTGGTGAAATCCCCCCCACTCTGCCCTTTTACTAGAATTTTTAAAATAGCCTAAATGAAATCTCACTCAACGCTCTACAAGAAAATATACCTTTAGGCTGAGAGGCAGCATGAATTTCATCCTACAGAATTATTTTTGGGGCTGGGGTGGGGTGGGGTTACAAGTGCCTAGAGACAGAGGCTTCTAATTAAATTGCCCTCTCGGCCAGAACTGCAGAATCCACACTGCAGTCACCATAACTGGGCTCAAATCTGGGGCAGAATGATAATTCTGTAAGTTTAGAGTGGTTGTTTTTTAAGTGTAGCTCATAATGGCTGGAGAGTTTCTGATGACTTTTCAAGGTTTTGCAAAGTGTGTGTATTTGCTGAGGGACCAGGGGACTTGCAGCCAGTGAATAAATAAGAAAGATTTTACAGTCTCAGGAAGTCTGAGGCTGTCCCAGATGAACAGGAAGAGCTGGGGTTGTCTTTCTGGCTCGCAGATGATGAGAAGCCCGAGGCAAAGTGTGAGGCAGGAAGTTTGGAACTATGTCCCATCAGAAGATGCGTTTACCCCTTAGTCACCTCCACCCCACTGCACTGGCAGTCAAAGGTGGAGGAGTGAAAGACGAGAGAAAGGGGGAAGCTGTCGTGATTGATTTTATTTATTTGAACACTCTTTAGTATGTTTATTTACGTCTGTGGTGGATGTGTGTGTGTGCGGCGCTCAGAATGGGTGTGAAGTCAAAGGACAATGTTCTCAGGACTCCCTGCCCAGGCACAGAGACCATTCATTGATTTGTTCAACCCATCCACTGAGGACACTATGCTCAGCCATGTGGGGAATGAGGAAGTATGAGGCAGAAGAAGTGGGTGGGGCCAGAAGTTTATATTCTTTGAGGATCAGATATCAATGGATAAACACACAGGAACTACGTAATTCAAGTTTCAGTAAAAGCTGTGGTGGAGATTCTGGTGTTTACCGGAGGTCCAGAGCACAGAGCACTGTGACTTTGGGTACTGACCTGTGAAAGAGATGTTTGAACTGCCAGGAAAAGATAGCTCTGTAGGAGAGGTCCAGTTGAGGGACCAGCCTGTGCTGGTCCTGAGGTCAGAATGACATTGGCTTTTTCAAAGGGCAAAACAGGAAACCATTTGTCTAGAACAATGGTTCCCAAAGTATAACCCACAGTGTGGCAGGAGCCTACACAAAATGATTTCAAGCTTTCATGGGCGAAGAGATGTTTAAAAATAGCACAAAAATACTGGAAAGAAATAGCAAAAAAACCAGAACTGCCTCCCCAGATCTCAGAGTACACTATAAAGCTGATATGAAATAAGGGTTATGTGGGCATGAGAATAAGAATGCAATGGAAAAGAAAAGAGAATCTAGGTGCAGTCTTCTGTGTGAGAACTTAATATACATTATACATCAAATGAGCAGTTCTGTTTTGTGGGAAGACAAATTATGCACAGAACCCCACGAGTGTAACTGGCTATTCACCTAAAAGAGAATACCCTTCTGCAAAAACATATCCTCAGAGACTACAGTACTAATCATGAAAAACAAAACAAATTATTATAGCAGTATCTAGGAGAGTTCACAGAAGACATAGAGACCAAGAAATTTGTTTAAGATTAGAACGCAGAGACCATATCAATATAAAAATGGCATATTAAAAATTTATATGATCCCATAATACATACAATAATTATTTGAAAATTAAAATAAAAATTTAAAATCTACAACCCATCTGTGTGGTAAAAGATATTATAAACAAATTCAAGCCACAAATGATAAATTTGGGGTAAAATAAAACCTTATAATTAAAATGACAAAAAAACCCTTATATAACATAGGAAGTGGCTTTGGAAACTGGTAACAGAACAGAAAAATAAAGACAAAGGAACGAGAGTTTATAAAGCCATAAATCCAGACAAGTGTACAAAACGATGCTGTAATCTGCCACAGTCATGTAAAGTAATGACACTGGACCATTCCATCAAGCCTGCCAAAGTCAAAACTTTCTACATTTTATGTTGTTGATGTTTTGTAGAAATGTGATGTTTATAGCATTTGGGTTAAGATGCAGGCAGAATCTACTGAAATAGATATGTTTATGTAAAATAGACATAAAAAATAAGCAATGGCATATGTGTACAAGGGAAGACCACTCAGAAATGAACAGAACTATTTTATACACAACAGTGTGGCTGTGCACTATAACTGTTCATTTGATCAGATTTATGATCGACTAGAAACTGCTCTTCTGGAATGTCCATGAGGGATGATCTCTATTGGTGAGTTGAGGTGAGAAGACAGCCCACCGTTGGTGGCACCACTCCCTGGGCTGCGATCCTGGACTACATAAGGAGAAAATGAGCTGAGCACAAATATGCACCGCTGTCTGCTTCCTGACTGAGGACACCATGTGATCAGCTGCCTGAGCTCCAGCTCCTACTCCAGGGCTTCCCTGCCTTGGTGGACTTTCACCTCAAATGGCAAGCCCAAAGAAACGCTTTCTCCCTTAATTTGCTGCTTTTGTGAGGGTATTTGATCCCAGGAACAGAAAAAGGAACCAAGACAAACATGGTGATTCACTCTAGAAAACATTACACCGAGAAAATAACCCAGCCATAGCCGAGTCCTGGCTGTGCGAGATTCCATTTGTATCCTGTTCTAGACCCGGGGAAATGAATCTACAGCACCTGAACCTCTGATCAGCAACTGTGGCATTATTTTCAAAAGTGGGATCAAGTACAGCCTTGTCCACTGAGAATGGGAGGTTGAATCTGTAGAGGACCAGTATACTGCCACTGACAATCAGGCAGGGACAGAGCAGCCAGGGTTTCCAGGTTATTATCCATTGGCAGAATTCAGAAAAGTATGACATCATCCTATTCTATGAAGAATAGGTTAGAGTCCTAACCTTCATAGCTGAGTTATACCTTGTTATGGAAACATGGAGAGATATAGAAAAACATACATATTGGGTTTTTTTTTAAGTGTAGTTCTTCAAATTTCTTGGTGCAGAATTTTGTCATGGAGCCCAGATTAGCCTTCCTCCATATCCTTTTGCTTTGTCAACCCATCACTAGAATTACAGACCCAGGCCATGTCCAATTCAGGGATGTCAACTTGGACCACAAGGCATGGGGATGGAGGGAAAGAGGAGGAATGGGGCCTTGAGCTGAGAGGAAAGACTGAGCTAAAGCCAGTGATATGTTTGTGATTCAGAGAATTAAAACTTGTGTTTATAGATCATCTGCATCAGAACTGAGGGGCTGGGTCCTTCTTTGGCGACCTAAGGTGACCCTCGCTCCTCTCGGTGTGACGGAGGCGCAGGAGCTGTGGGCTGTGGCTTGCCCTGGAGAACACGATGGGCAAGTATGGACCCCAGGATTTAAAGCCAGCCAGCACGAGTCCTCAAGCCACACACCCAACTTCCTCTGAGAGCTGAAGCAGAGACGACAGTGGCAACATTTAAGGGAGTTCCAGAAAACTCAGGAAGCAAGAGGGAGAATTTGAAAACTATACAATTATTATTATGTTTTATATCTATGCTGAGCTGGAGAGATGGTTCAGTAGTTAGGAGCACTGGCTGTTGTTGCAGAGGTCCAGGGTTTGGTTCCCAGCACCCATATGATGGCTCACAATGGACTGTAACTGTAGTTCAAGGGGATCTGACACGCTCTAGCCTCCTAGAGCACTGCGTGAATGTGCAGTGTGATGTGTATACACACATGCAGGCACTCACACATACGCTGTGCTAAACAGAAGCCCTGTCAATGGAGAAATAATCCTAGGAATTAGGGGCTTGGCTCACTGCTTGCCTTCCATGCCAGAGGCCCTGGGTTCCATCTCCAGCATGGCAGAAAACTGGCCGTGGTGGTGCACACCTATAATGCCAGCACTCTGGAGGCAGAAGCTGTTGTGGAATATTAGTTGAAGTTGTGTTACATTTGTTTATGCTCCAGAACATTTGTTTAATGATGCAAAGATGTGTTGCATTCTTTTATGTTACATTTGTTTAACTCTGTGAAGCTGTGTTACTGTGCCTGTCTAAAACACCTGATGGTCTAATAAAGAGCTGAACAGCCAATAGCAAGGCAGGAGAGTGGGATAGGTGGGGCTGGCAGGCAAAGAGAATAAATAGAAGGAGAAAAAAAGGAGGGTGAGCAGGAAAAGGAGAAGAGGAGAATGCCAGGGCCAGACATCCAGTCACACAGCTAGACATGAAATAAGAAGAAAAGAAAAGATACGCAGAAATAGAGAAAGGTAAAAGCCCAGAGGCAAAAGGTCGATGGGATAATTTAAGAGAAGATGGCTAGACTGGGGATAGGAGGGGGCTTTTTGTAGCCCACCACCTATGGTGGGATGCCTTGCACAGTCTTCATACAGAGGGGAGGGGCGTGGACCTGCCTCAACTGAATGTACCAGGCTCTGCTGACCCCCCCCCACCCACCTTTTCAGAGGAGGGGATGGGTAGGTTGCGGGGGAAGGTTGGGGAGGAGCGGGAGGAGGGATGAGAGGGGGAGCTGTGGTTGGTATGTAAAATGAATAAAAAAATTCCTTTTTTTTAAATACACTACAAATCTTTTTTTTTTGAGATTTATTTATTTATTATGTATACAGAAGAGGGCACCAGATCTCATTACAGATGGTTGTGAGCCACCATGTGGGTGCTGGGAATTGAACTCAGGACCTCTGGGAGAGCAGTCGGTGCTCTTAACCTCTGAGCCATCTCTCCAGCCCCTAAAAAATTTCTTAGCCAAAAAAGAAAAAGAAAAGAGAAGCTAGCTAGAAACAAGCCAAGTGGAGGCCAGGTATTTATAAGTAGTACTAAGTCTCCACGTGTTTATTTGGGACCTGGATGGCAGGCCCCCAAAGAGCAAAAACGTAAAAACAACAACAACAGGAGTTGGGGCCATCAGAAATCCCAAATCGTCTTGGACTGCAAGTGGCTTTGAGGCCAGTCTGAGCTACATGGGACCTCACCCCTTCTCCTGCCTCACTCCTCTCCCAGAATCGGCCACCGTAGACCCTATCCTTATCGGCTGTTTTCATATTTTGTTCCCCATAGCTTCTGTGAATTAATTTTGATCCCCAAAAACATTGCATTAAACTATTGCTGGAGCAAGATACAGTGGTGCATTCCTATAGTCCCAGAGGCCAGGGAGGCTGAGGCCAGGAGGACCATGAGGCTAAGATGGGTCTGGATGCCTCCACACGACCTTGTCTCCAAGTTAAATTAGGAAAGGGCTGAGGACGTGGCTCGGTGGTAGTGTTCTTACCTAGTCTGTGCGAGCCTCTGGGTTCAAATCTCCCAGCACTGATAAAAACATTTTATTACTTATCTCAGTTTCTGAGGGTTTTGTTTTTTCAGACTTGAAACTTTGTCCCTGGTGGTTAGTCTATATCACTTGTTTCATCCTGATCTCTGACCCATTTGTCTCTACATAGCGACACCCGAGGGAGACAGAACAGAGCCTGACGCATCTCTGAGGCTCCGTTTTCTCATCTACAGAATGAGAATAACAACAACAATGAACTTCGTGCTGCTTCATAGGGCTGGGCTGAGAAACTACGAAGATGTGGACATGAAATTGCTTCTGCCATTTCTGTTTTTGACGCTGGAACTGCTCATGAATGGTAGTCCCACTTGTGCATGTAAGGTCCCCTAGCCTTGGACACACTCCCTGAGCAAGCTTGGCTTGCCTACACCAACTCTGGGAAATCCCCAAGAATCTGGTCTTGGCTTAGCTGGCAGCAATCTCTTTAATCACGCCCTCCACCCCAGCCTGAGCACGTGATGGGAGGTGGGTCTCCTTTACCACATCAGTGCTTTTCTTGGATGTAAGAGAGACTCCCTCCAACAAACACACACCCACAATCTTGTTAAAAAAAAAAAAAAGCTCTGGGGGCTGGCAAAATGGCTCAGTGGTTAAGAACACTGGTTGTTCTTGAAGAAGACCTGGGTTTGATTCCCAGCACCTACATGGCAGCTCGCAACTTTTTGTAACTCCAGTTCCAGGGAGTCTGACATCCTCTTCTTACCTCTGAGGGTACCAGCAGTGCATGCAGTACACATACATGCAGGCAAAACACTCACACACAAAGTAAAACTGAAAAATCATTCAAAAATTTAAAACTCAAAACAAAACCACACTGGGAGCTGAGAATGTGGATCAGGTGGTAGAGCACTTGTGCCCATGCATGAAGCCCTGGGTCCAGTCCCCAACACTGCCCCAGCTGGGCGTGGTGGCTCACACCTATAACCCCAACATTGGCAAGAAGAACAGAAGATTAAGGTCATCTTGCTACATAGTATTTGAGGCCAGTTTGGGGCATATCAGATCCTGTTTTGAAAATCAAGAACAAACACAAAATCAAACCCCTCAATGGTAGAACATAAGCTTAGCAAGCGAGAGTCTGGGATGGGACAAGAGTCTGCATTCCCAACAAGCTCCAAGTGACATCCTGGCTATTTGTCCCCAAGGCTCTCTTTCTTTGTATAATGAAGAGTTATTAGTATTATTAGAGTTATTAGATGAGTAGATTAGAAAGACCCCAGAATATCCCCAACAATGGCACACTACACACCAGCCAGAGCTGTGAGCTATTCATCCTTACAGGAGCCCTGCTGCTGTCCACAGACTACCAAGAACACACCTCTTACTAAATAGATGTATTCAGCCTGCTATGGCAAGCAAGGGTGTAAGAGAAGAAAGTTGGGGGAAGGGAGTTGGGAGGATTTATGGGGTGGGACTGTGGGGGTGTCTCAGCGGGGTGAAGGAAAAGAGAAGCTCGTATTGGGACTGGTAAAATGCAAAAGCAAGGTCAACTGAATGGTAAAGAGCAACCTCTCAAAATGTGTGTGTGTGTGTGTGTGTGTGTGTGTGTGTGTGTGTGTGTGTGTGTGTGTGTGTGCAGGTACATAGGCACATGTGTACTCATGAGTATGGTAGGCAGAGGACAAACTTAGCTGCCGTTCTTCATGCCGTGTGATTGGACACATCACAGGACAGCCTAGCAAAGCTCACTATCACCACCATCCACAGTACAGTATTGCCTTTGAGAACCCTGGGGGATTGCGTTGGCATAATGGTTCCAGAGCGACAATTTTGAGTGACTCACATTGTTTATAATGGGGGCTGGGAGGGTTGCTCATTTGGTAAAATGATTGCCACAAGGTGTTGAGCTCCTTGACTTTGAGACAGAGTTTCCCATTGGCTTGGAACTTGTGAAGCAGGCTAGGCTGGCTGGCCAGTGAGGCCCGGGGATGGGCGTTTGTCTGGAGGGTGGAGGTGATGCTGACGCAGAAGCATGAGTGTGATTGGCCACAGGAGGGACGTCTTTGTTCCTGATTGCAGCATTCTTCTCTCCTGCTATCCATGTCTGCCAGGGGTTTGTTCTCACGTAGCCTCAGAGTGACCTTGTCTGGTGGCTGTTTTGATTCTGAGAATGAAACCTATGTTCTTCGAAGAAGGCTACAGCCAGTATTATTTTCTGACCTGGGGAAATCAGGCCTCTGAGACTGGAGCAACTTCCTTGGAATTTTCTAAGTCCTTTCCCAGTACCAGGATGGGCTAGTGGTGCAATGTGTCCCGAACCCCAAATGGAGCTCACACAGTTCCAGGCCTTGCTCTCCCTTCAGAGACTGAGCACATGGCTGTTCTGGGCCCTGTTTTGGGATACTTATAGGAAAGCCTAGCAACCAGACTGTTCCCACTATCCACCAATACAGGATTTGGGGACATTGAGTTGGTGGAATGGTCCCAGCTTGCCAGTTTGGAGTGACTCAAATTGCTTATATAGGAGCTAGGGAGAGGGCTCATTTGGTAAAGTTCACTGCATAAGCATGGGCCCCAGAGTTTGCCCCTAAGAACGCACATTACAAAGCCAGGTGTGGCACCCTGTGCCTGTAATTTCAGGATTGGGGAGGTAAAGAAGAGCAGATCCATGGGGCTTGCTGGCCAGCCAGCCTAGATGACATGATAAGTTCCAGGCCAGTGAGGGACCCTGCTTCACAAAACAAGGTGGACAGTGCCTGAGGAATGATACCAGAGCTTTTTCTCTGGCCTCCAGATGTATGCTACTGGAATCCACAAGCATACATGTGCATGTATGTGTGCCACCCACACACACACTCACTCACTTTATAATAGATAAGAACGCCACAAATATTCTTTGCTTGAGACAACACCACCCAGGATTGGACCCCGTCACGGCAGGTGCTGCTTTCCATGTCCATTATTTCCTCTGCAATGATCAAGAAGAAGAAACCGGGATTCACAGAGGCTGAGTGAGTCCCACCAGGTCTCTGAACTGAGCAGCCTGCTCCTGGGCTCCCGAAGTAACCCCTGCTCTCCTTTCCCTCTCTCGCCGACTGCACAGGTCCCCCGTGGGCGTCCAGACCCCTCCACCACAGCTGACACGCCAGCACTCCTCGGAGTTTGTCAGCTGATGAGCTGACCCCTCACTCTTTCCCTGCACGGCGTTTGGAAACCTGCACGCATCTCTCTGTACCGCTCTTCTCTCGCTCTTTCCGTCTCCCTAACCCTGCTTCCAGCTGGGGCTTGGGGGTCCCACACGCTCCGGCTGAGCTCCCACCTCCCCCGAGTCCCCGTTTGCTCTAGATGACAGCTGCCCTTCAGAGCTTCCATCTTGGCTCTCTGGCCACCACAGCCTCCGAACATGAAGGCAGTTCTCTCACACGTCAGGCAGGCAGGCAGGCAGGCAGGCAGGCGGGCGGGCAGCCGATCCAGATTGCTGGGGGTGGTGCCGAGGTTAGCTGTGAGGAGGAGGTGGAGAGCGTGTGGGCAGGGCTGTGAAATGTGCTAAGTCTTCTATTATGGGGTCAGCCCACTTAGTGTGGCCACCCTCCACTCAGGAACTGGAGACAGAAGGTGAGCTGTGATTAATCCCATTCATTCGCTCACCAGCTTTTCAGCAGACAAGGAAAACGGTCATTCCTGTGAGGTGAGGCCTGTTTACCTCTCTGGGAAGGTTTCTAGAACACAAAAGCATTCGGAAGCTGCTGTGGAATATTATTCTAACATTTAAAAGATGTGTGACATTTGCTTATGCTGCATTTGTTTAACTATGTGAAGATGGGTTGCTGTTTCACCTTGCCTGCCTAAGACACCTGACTGGTCTAATAAAAAGCTGAACAGCCAATAGCTAGACAGGAGAGGGACAGACAGGGCTGGTGGGCAGAGAAAGTAAGTAGGAGGAGGAATCTAGGTATGAGAGAGAAGAAGAAGGGAGAGAGAATGAGGGAGAAAGAGAGGGGTACACCCAGGGCCAGCC